AAGGTTTGTTGAGAGGAGGTTGCTGTCCACTGAGGCTGAGAGAATGTGACTTGCCCAAGATTACCCAGTAGGTTTCCATGGTCAAGTGGGGATTTGAACTCTGATCTTCCACAGTTCTACTCCAGCACTCAAACCACTACACCATTCTGGCCTGAACAGACTCCCAGAAATAATCCATCTTGAGACCACTTTAACTTCCCTGGCTCAGTGCAAGAGAATCATGGGAACTGTAGTTTATTGTGACACCTGAGTTCTCTGACAGAGAAGGCTCAATGTCTCAGACAGTTCCCATGATTCCCTAGCATTGAGCCAGGACAGTTAAAGTGGTCTCAAGCTGGATTATTTCTGGCAGTCTGTTCGGCCCTGTGCCCCTACCATGACAGAAATGTACATTGCTTGATACTGTAACAGATATGTGACACGTTAAATACCTAACACATTTATTGTGACAAAGACTTCATGGGATTAGAATTTATTTCCTCAGATGCTAACATATCACTTTTCTGGAAAATCTTCAGTGTGATACAGTTCATGCAGCTGTATGCATCCATTGAATCAAAAAGGTGGGGTGATCCTAGATTTAAATCCAATTGTTAGTCCCAACCAGAGCAGGCCCATTGAATACACTGCTGAAAGGTAAACCAGCACTTATGTAAATCAGAATCATCAAAAAAAAATTGCTAGCTAGAAATAGCAAGTGGATTTGGGCTCAAGTATGCTTTTTAAGGGGGGAGGGGGGAATGGTGTGTTTTAGATTGTAATTATTGTATGCAGTATTTTATTATGTTCACCGCCCGGATTGGTTCGCCAAAGGGCGGTATACAAATAAACATTATTATTATTATTATTATTATTATTATTATTATTATTATTATTATTATTATCAAGTAAGTATGACTGTGCATGTCTGTTTGGAGTTGATGAAAGCTTCAGGAAAAGAGTCTAAATCCATTGGTTAGTCCCACCTAGATTAAGTTCACATTGATTCAGTGTGATTTATATAAATGTGAACTTACCTTTCAGTGGCAAATTCACTGGATCTACTAGTTGGGACTGGTCATTGCACTCAGGCCAAAGCTTTTGGATGTTCAAGACTCTACCTATTTGAAAGACTTGTACAAGAAATACAGAAGTCATCTATTTGTAAACAGTCAGCATTTCCCCAATTGCTGCTGAGTTTTTTGCTTACAAGAAAAAAATATTTTGGGGGTGGAATGAAATAACTGCATGGTGCTTATTGATTGGTAACACACTCTGTCTGAAGGCACTCTTTCTTCCACTATAAAGTGGCCATAGGGTTACAGCTGGGTGGCCAAAAGAAGACTCAATGCTTGTCAGGTACTTTGCATCTGCATAATTCATTTTCCTTTAAACAAGCTGAGTCAAGAAACTAGCATGGGAGGGTTAATCTTCTACCCATGCCATGGGCACAATTCCTGACAAATTGCTCCATCTGTTCACAGACTTGCTATTCTTTGTGAGTGGAAGGTTCCCATTGGGAACAGCATGCTCTATTGGGTAGGGATTCCTCTTGAGACCATATTGTTAAAGCCCTGAATACCGTGGTTCCAATTTTACATACTATCCGTTCTGTGCCATCTGCACATGATAAATCTTATATTCAGCAGGCTTTGGTCCCTCACTGCAGTAGGGAGTTGTAGCCCTCCAGATTTCTTCAGCTGCAACCCCCATAAGGCCTTGCTAGCTTAGCTAATGATGCGCATTGATAGGAGTGCAGCAATATTTGAAGGGTCACCCATTTCCCATCCCTGGTCTAGCACTGGCCTTAGCTAATACATGAGACAGGGATTGGAGCAACATAGAGCCCAGCTTTCTGCAACACAATCATTTTCACATTTTCTCTGTCTCTTATTTCATATTTTTCCCCTGCATTTGGAAAGGCGTGGGCTGTAGTCAGCAGAAAATACAATGAACGTCTACCAGATCCATCCAGATGGAAAACCAACTTCCGTTGTGCTTTGAAAAGCACAAAGAGATTTGAAGAAGTAAAGTCAAATGATCCTGATTATCATGAATATAAAATCATCCCTCTTAGTACTGCACCAGCTGCCAATCCTCCTCGTGGTACAAGTAAGTAAAACAAGAATACCTGGAGATATTCATAGTGACCCTAAGTATCTTTGCAAAGTCTACTTCATTACATTGGACAGCTTATGAGTTGGGTGTCTCTGTATATTGGGGTGGGAATACTGTGGCCCTCCAGATATTATGCAGCTGCCACTAGTATCATTCTTCACCATTGGATGCGCTGGTAGGGCTGCTCAGAATTGTAGACTAACAACATCTGGAAGGTTGCATGATTTCAACCCTGTTATTTATCCACTAACCAAGTGGTAAAATCATTGCTCATTAACAAAAGGTGCTTGCTTGTCTGAAATTTATAATAAAGCAGGGCTTAGATGGGGGCCAATTGTGTGCCCAAACTGTGCCAGTGTTTGGCAGATGTTGCTTAGTTTAATAAATCTGACCTAGGAAACCACAGTGATAGCTTCAGAACATATATAAACCTGCTTTGAACTTTAGTTTGTTCTGAAATGTAGGTCAAAATAGGCATGCATAAATTTCTCAACAGGAGTTGGCCATGTTCAAGGTTTCAGAAAAACAGTTGTACATACAGTGAGTTTTGTTATATAAATGTGCATTTTCAGTTGATGCATTATTTGTCTACTGCTGCAAATGGTACTAATGGTAACTGCACCTAAGGTCCTCTGGGAAGAATTTATTGCTAACTATAAAAACTAGATTATCTGCAACTGCCCAGAGGACCTTTTCGGCTATCGCTTCCAGACTTTGAAATGGCCTGCCAGATGAGATCCATCACTCGACCACCTTAAACAGCTTTTAAAAAGCTGTAAAGACGGATCTCTTCTGGCAAGCATTTCCTGAGTAGATAACTGGCCACCAAAAATAGTTATGCCTGTCCCTGATTTCCACTACAGCTATTTTATTTTTATTTTTTGTGTCTTTTATTGTAATTTATTGTAGTTTGTCATTTTAAAGTATGTTTTTAAATTTTGATTGTTTAATTATATTTGGGGGTGGGCTATTGGGGGACGGGATTGTTTGTTTTATCATGTAAGCCACCCCAGTTGTATTTTACAGAGATGCGGGATATAAATAAATTTTATTATTTATTATTATTAATAATACTTTGGTTAGTGTGGCATAGTGGTTTGAGTGTTGGACTACGACTTGTGGGACCAGGGTTCAATTCCCAGCTCAGTCATGAAATCCACTCGTGACCTTGGGCAAGTGACATGCTCTCAACCTCAGAGGAAGGCAGTGGCAAACCTCCTCTGAACAAATCATGCCAAGAAACCCCACAATAGGGTCGCCATAAGTTGGAAACAACTTCAAGGTACACAACATGCACATACTACTTTGGTTGACCATTCAGTTGTACAATATTGCCATTCAACAGAAAAGTCATGTAGCACAACCAACATATAATGCTGCATGCAAGATTTAAACTATGCAATTCTGATGTAGGATCTGAACCACATTTTCCTAATTTATGTAAAATGGAAAACTTGATTAGAGACATTTAAGTTTAATTGCTCACACATGAAGGGAAGGGGGAGCAAGATGATGTCCACTGGCAATAGGTCTGTTGCCATCTTGGCTTGCTAAGCTGGGGGCTAATTTTTTGTATGTATTTGTTTTTGTCCAGTTTAGTCTATGGTATCAGCATAAAGAGGATTTATGCATGTCATGGGGCAATTGAAGGGAAGGCATTCATTCCTAAACTCATACATCCTTATAATGAAGGACATGAGATTCTGTACCTTCCCTCATTAGATCTTCACCCTAGAGATACTGTTTGTGCCTTTTTCATGCTTTCCCTTTTCCCCTTGGTTGTTTTAAGGTACTGGGAGTGACCATGGTAATGATGACTTATATATCAGCCCTACCAGTGAAGGAGTCCAAGGTTTTGACCAGACTACATCTCCATTTCAGGTACTTAACTGCAGAATACAATGGGATTGAGGGATTTGAGGGCTGTGGAGCAATTCAGAATTGCTGTAAACCCATGTATTACCCTGAATTTCATCAAAAGTGTGATAATGGGGCTTTTCCCATTTTCTGGGCAGCACACCTGAGGGAATAGTCTTCTTTCTAGGTAAACAAAGGGTTAGTGAGGTATGGGGTTTACAGTTTCATTTTATGAAGCTCCTCTGAGCCAGTGAGATGACCAGCTTGTAAGAAGTTTCCAGATTTTCCAAGGAAGGTTATAAATACCTCAAAGAGTAACACAAGGGGCCTTTGTAGACTGCCAGAAATAGTGCAGATTGAGTCCACTTTAAGGGTTAGGGTTAGGGAATCATGGGAACTGTATTTTATTGTGGCACCAGAGCTCTGTGATAGAGAAGGCTCAATATCTCAGAAAAAAACAATTCCCATGACTCCCTAGCACTAACCCTAACCCTTAAAATGGACTCAGTTTGCACTATTTCTGGCAGTCTGCAAAGGCCCAAGGTGTGGTGAGAACAGAGACTTGGGGCAAGATGCTGGCTGCACTGGGGAGCTGGTCAGAGACCATGCCTAGAATCCACATTGTACTGTGAGTAGATAGAGAACATTTAGCTAGTCTCTTCAAGACTTTCATCGCGATCTTGGCTGAAATGATCTAGACTTTTTGTAACTTCTGTACATGGGCCTGAAGGGAATGTGCCCTTCATGAAGAGACATTTTTTGCTAATGTAGATTTGCTTAGAATAAAGTCTTCCTTTAAAAGTCTTCCTTTTTCTTCCCACACTCTTTTTATGAGCCTTTGGCTTGGTCTCACAGGGGTGGGGAGGTGGGAGTAAGTCTCTGCAGAGTCAGAGATGGAAAGTGCAATTGGAACTCCCAAAGTAATTTTCCATGAATTAGTAGGAAAAGAGGGGGTTGGAATCAGTAGGTGGTGGCAGCTAAGATATATGGCCTTTGAAGGTCCCATCTGGCTCAGACAGAAGCTGGAGAGGACCACGAGCCCGGTTCAAAAGGGTACCACCATACCACCCAGCATACACCTAAACCTACCTGATTTGGGAAGCAAAGCAAAATTGGGAGATTGCCAGGGATTTCCTGGTAGAGCTAGAGAAGAATCCTACCTGAAATAAAGTTAGAAGAAGCATTGCCAGTCAGAGTTGACAGTATAGGCCCAGATAAGCCAGTGGTCTGACTTAGGGTGCATCTGTTGAAATAATGCAGCTTGACACCACTATTACTGTCATGGCTCCAAAAGAATCCTGGGATTTGTAGTTTTGCGAGGTGCCAGCACTCTTTGACAGAGAAGGCTAAAGATCTTGTAAAACTACAAATCCCAGAATTCCATAGGCTGGAACTACAGCACTTAAAGTGGAGTCAAACTGCATTATTTCTATGGTATAGATGCACCCCCAGATATAAGGCAGATTCCTATATTACTGTTAATGAAAAAATGACAGTGATGTTATGCTAAGGATCTGTCATTATTCTGTGGGAAGTAGGACAAACGGGGTATTAGGGTCAAAATATTCTGTTTGAACAATCTGTTTTCTTAGGCATGGATTCTACAAGCTGTTTGTTTGGACAATTTCAGCTGAACTTCAGTTCAATAACTTTGAAGTTGCAGGTCCGATATACAGTTACCTGGGAGTAAGTCCTATGGAACTTAGTGGGACTTACTTTTTAGTAGTCATGTAGCTGTCATACCTCCCTGAACACCTCTGACCTCCTCTGATTTCAGAAGCTAAATGGGATCAGGCATGGTTAGAATTTGAATAAAGACCACCAGGAATCTCCAAGTTGGTGAGTAGTCACCTTAGTCAGGTGTCAGTGAAGGGGTCAAACCAGGGCAGAATATTGCACAGTGGAGCTGGGATACAGCCCTCATGTAGATTCAGCCTTGAAAGTCCCAAACTAGTGCTTATCTTTATTTTTGTACAACTTTACTCTTAATAAACTTAAAATGCAAAGGTGTTGCTCTGTGTAAACAGCTGATCACTGAAAAATGTGTAGGAATAAGCTAAAAGGTGTGATCTAAGGGGGCTGGAAAAGTGTGTAATGAAATTTTTTGCATGGTTTCTCTTAATTGTGTAACAGGTCTTATTTATTTGGTTCACAGCAGGAGATAGCTGTTGCTTTTAAAACTTTGTCACTGGATAATCCAGTCCCAGGTAAGCTGACACTTGTGAAAGCTCACTTTTTAGTTTATGACTACAAATGTCATTTGTGGCAGATGCTTAGAATATGGATACAAATTCAGGCTACAAATTTCAATTCAGTCCCCAATTTGGTACTTTGACAAATGAGTCACTTTGTCTTGGATTGATTCAGACCCAAGCACTCAGATTCTAAACTTGAATGGCATTCAAAATCCCAAAGGATTTTGTCAGTCTTCTCACTGACTATATTGGATTTTTTTAAAAGTTATTTTTCAAATCTGATAGAATTGGAAGAAATTTGGATATATAGTAACTCCTTAGAAGGGGCCAGCAGGTGCCCACCAGTAGGTGCAGGAGTCTACCTTCTTTAGATAAATTAAACTTTAAAGGCACCTGCAGTTGAAATGACTTTGATGCAAATAAGCAGACATTTTGATTGCATCACACTTGCGCTCGACAGGCACAGTACAATTTGTGATAAAACTGTGCCTATGAAATTCATTTAGAGTATTTATACCCTGTTCATCAGCCACAAAGGCTCTCAGAGCAGCTTAAAAATTGTTGATTAGACAGTTCCTTGCCCTCAGGCTTACAATTCTAAAAATGCCAAGTGCAAGGCAGAAAAAGATTCATGTTTATAAACGAGGTTACCATCATTAGTCTGTAGAGAAAAGAGCTTAACCATTGTTTCAGTGCTAGTACATTTGGAGCTTCAGGTATTGCTGAACCAAGAAAATCATTTGATAATCAAAAGAACTCATATTCAGAATTTTCAATTGTCAGTCATTCTCATCAAAGCAGAGTTGGAAGCAATTTGTTACAGTAATGGTCATTGCTTGCATCAATCCCCTTTTTGGGACAATGGGGGGGATAATATTTTTGGTTTTCTAAAAATCTCCACAAAATACTTTTGGGGGCATTTTGGTCCCCATGCTTTTATATATTATACATGGGGGGAGGGGTTAAGAGTGCGAATGTGTGGCAATGTTGATGTTATTTGCCCAACATGTTGACTTCTACTCATGGCAGCCTTATGAATGAAAGGCTTCCAAGAGTCCTGGTCATCAACTGTCCTGCCTTGTCTTGCAAACATGGTTCAGGGCCATGGCTTCCTTGATTGAATCAATTCATCTATAGTGTAGTCTTTCTGTTTTTCCTTTACACATTTTATAGAGCATTATTGTCTTTTCCAGTGAGTCATATTGTCTCCTGATATGAACAAACTATGTCAGCCTCAGTTGAGTTAATTTGGCTTCTAGGGAAAGTTCAGGCCCATCCATTTCTTTTTTTAGTAGAACTTTTCTTCACCACATTTCAAAGGAGTCTATTCTTTACCTCCCAGCTTTCTTCACTTCACACCCGTATCTAGAATTTGTATGTGTTGTATATGGTAAGAGAATGTGTAAACAATAACAGTCCTGGTATAACAGTCATCTGAAACTCACATTTATATAGCAAAATATGTATAATGCTAGTCTGTAATCATATTACTAGTGTGATAGTCGATGTAAATTTCAATGTCAGTTGTATATAATGAAACATATTAATAACAGAGATGCAGTAAGACATGTAGAAAAGATATAAATTTTATGACAATCCTCTGTGAAGGACAACAAACAGAATGTGTGCCTCCCCCTATTGTATATTCAGCCCTCCATATCCATGGATTCAACCATCTGTGGCTTGAAAATGTTCAAACAAATGTAAGTTCTAAAAAGCAATCCTTGATTTTGCCATTTCATATAATGGATACAATTAAAATAATGACCACAGGGGATCTACGTAAATTCAACCTAGCCATAAATTCAACTTGAGGAAATCAAAATAGTTAAAAAGTACCCATACCTTGGATCAAACCTTGTTCAGAATGGAGACTGCAGTCAAGAAATCAGAACAAGGCTAGGAATGGGAAGGTCAGCTATGAAAGAACTAGACAAGATCCTAAAGAATGAAGATAAACTGAGCACTAAAGTCAGAATTGTCTAAGCTATTGTATTCCCAATCACAATGTACAGATGTGAGAGTTGGCCAGTGAGGAAAGCTGGTAAGAAGACTATCAATTCATTTGAGATGTGGTGCTGAGGAAAAGTGGTGTGGA